ACACACACACACACACACACACCACCCCTACATTTCAAACAAGGAACCAAACATTTGTATTCAATTCAATTGTATACAATGTGAAAGATGTGGTTTATTTTTAATTTTTTATAGTTTTCTTATGTAAGATGTGCACTGAAGGTGTCATTTAATTTCATTGTACAAGGTGCAATGACAATAAAGTAACCTATACTAACTATACATTGAGTACTCATTAATGTCAAAGGTTTTCCTAAAATAAATACAGATTGGATGACTTAGAGGTTCTCTTTAGACAAGAATTAAGTAAAAAGACAATAAAGTTTAAAGTTATTTTATATAGAGAGGAAGAGGATCCTTTTTGGCACCCTCTCTCTTGTGCTTTTTTCTGGTCACTTTGGGAGTCACCTTTATAGTCTATGGCTAACATGGCAATTAACTTTAGGTCTGGGGTTGGCACAATGCATCAAACAGATTCTGAACTCAAGTTCTCTACTTTCTTTTGGGCCCTCTTAATAACAAAGATTACTGCAAATATTTTGCAGCAGAAGTGAAGCTTATTAGCTGATGCATTTTTCTATGATCCTTTCTCCTTTTCTAATTCCTTATATTTCACTTTTATAGCTATCCCATGTCTTGTTTTCCATCATTGCTTTTCTTATTTTTCTTTCTCCATCTATTTTCCCATGAGGTTCTTGTGCCTATTTCATCCAATTTTGACTTTTTGAGTCCACTGAATAAACTCTCCTTATCAATCCTCATAGCTTTTTCAATCCAGCAATAGGGATGCTCTTGCTGAGGTGAAAGCTTCACCACACAAGCCAGTGTGCAGATGCAATTAGTGGTGTCATTCAGTCTAACGCTCTTTTCCATTAGGACAGGACAATAATTTCTAGTGGAGTTCATTCCCTGAGAATCAGATTTCTGTAAAAAGTAGATAGAGCAGAATATTTTTGAATAAAATTGCCAAAGCTAATTAAGACAATGAATCATATTGTGTTTACAGTCTTATTATCTCAAATATGGTCCACTTCATAAATAACTGATATTTATGCATATTGTTTTTCCTTATTTTCCACAGCTTGGAATCCCACACTGGAAATATATGGGTACTCAGGCTCAGGTTATTGATCAGAGAGATGGCCCGTTATCAAACACTTTAATACAATCAGATATGAAAATGAGATTGATTTCAGTTTATTATGTAGCCAAAAAACTGCCTGCAGTGGGTGCTGTATTGAAGCAACGATGTTGATTTAACAATACCTCTATTGTTAGTATCAATATTATCTGTGAAATATTATCTTTGAAATAGTTCAAGAATTTAAAACTTTCCAAACAAGAGCTTCCAAAGTTTAAAGGGACAACTTCTGAATACTCTATTTTAAGTGTCTATATAATGAACATGTAGACATTTTTTTTCCTGAAAATGCATGCATGCATTTTATGTCCTATTTTAATCACTGGAAAAAAGCCCAACCAGCAGAAAATCAAACTAATTATGTGATCTACTTTCTTGTCTGTAAAGCTTCTGATAACAATATTTATTTTCTTTAGATTTAGGCTCCTAGTAGAAGACTAGTAGGGTTTTATACATTTGAACATTTTTAAACACACAGTTTGAGAACAGATGATGGTTCATACTTTAACACTCCAAAACATCACCAAATCCTCCAAAATGTTTCTAAATCTCTAATTTTCATTCTCTGCCTAACACTAGATTTGGAAAATAAAGGCTGCATGTTTTGTTCTTTCTATGGTCTGATCTCTGCATTAACACATTCCATAACTGGGAGGAGGGAGGGAAGCTAAGCCATGATTCCCAAATGTCTTTGTCTGTTCCAGAAGAGTCCATTTATTGAGAACAATCTCCATAACAATAGATATCTGGCTATTCTGCATGGACCTTTGAAAGGATTCCAACAGTCCTACCAGTTCTATTGAACCCTGTCCAAATGTATATTTTATCATCAGGAATTACAGAGTTGGAAGGGATCCCAAAAAGATTCCTAGCCAATCCCAATCCCTTAACAATATATTTCATTATACTGTAATCTATGTTCTGGAAAACAGCCTTCATTAATCTTTTTTTTGTTCCACAGATATGCCAAAATTCAAATGTTTTCATCTTCCCACAAAATGCAAAATATACTGGATTACATTTGTGTAGGATATCCTGTAGAGTTGTAATTGCAGGAATGTTCCAATCTCGGATGGCAAACCTCAGATAAAGAATGTTTCCAAGCAAATACAACTCAGGCAAACAAAGTCACTAATCTAAAGGAGGATTAGAGAGAGGAAGAAAACATATGTTAGACCTTAACTAGAGATAATTAATTGTGTTAATTACTATGCTAAACAGTAACGAAAGTTAAGCAGTAACCAAAGTTAACCAATGATGGAGGATAATTAAAAATGTGTATAAATGCAAGACTAGACTCCAATAAAGATCATCATGATTCAGTTGTTCATGATCAAACAACTCGACTGCCTCATCATTACAAGTGGCGCATGAACAGGGACCCTCTTACTTCATCCAGCAAGGATTTGGTGCACCTTCAACCCCTTGTGGTTTCTTCAACCTTTTGGTTTCTGTAAGTATGGGGTCTTCGCTTTCTGAGGAACAAAGGAAGCATGTGGATGAATTAGGCTATTTGTTGAAGAAAAATAATACCGAGGTACCACAGAGAAATCTCTTAAGGCTGGTCCAGGAGATTGCAGCTCAGTGCCTATGGTACCCAGACAAGGGGTCTTTAAAATTAACTGATTGGGAACGTATAGAGAAAACATTGCATACTGAACCTCGAGCAAAAATAGAAGTTTTGCAGGTGTAGCATTTATGTAGGCATGCAATTGAAAAATTTGGTCACAATGAATCACAATGATCACTCTTTTAACACCTCCACCTTGACGTTATACTAATGCTGTCATTTGTCCCCCTTCTTCACCTGAATATATGTCTTCAATTCCCTCAGGTCCTGCAGATACAGGGCAAAAGCCTTCTGACTCTATTGTTCAGTCTTCTTTTCAGAAAAAGGTAGAGACTTGTAAAAGGGATAGCTCTGTCTCAGGAACAGAACTTGCAGAATTACTGTCTGTTTGTCCAGTACAATATCATCCTGGTCAGGGGCCACAGCTTGGACTGCAAGTAGCAGAATGGGAGAGTGAATATATGAGACATGCTCAAGCTGCTGCTTTAGGAGGGGGAGGAGCATATACAGTTGAGCAGCTATTTGGTTCTGGACCATTTGGTACAATTCCTACTCAAGTTGTTCTTCCTCCAGCTACATTAACTCTTGTTTCTGAATGTGCCTTTCGTGCTTTTCTTAAGGTACCCCAAGCTGGAGAACCTAGAGCAAATTTTTCAAACATTTGACAGAATGCCAATGAGCCTTATGCTGATTTTGTTGAGCGTCTGTCCAAAGCAACTAGACAGCAGTTTGATCATCAGGAAGCTGCTGGTGAACTTCTTCACCAGTTAGCTATTGAAAATGCTAATGCAGATTGTAAAAGAGCTTTACAGCCGTTAAAGGCTACTGCTCATTACACTCTGGCAGATATGCTGAGGGTCTGCCAGGATATTGGATCACAAACTTATAAAATGCATATGTTAGCAGCTGCTATTCAGAAAGGACAGCGACCAATTGGTAACTGTTTTAAGTGTAAGAAGCCTGGCCACTTTCAGAAGGACTGTCGTTCTACACCTTCTATGCCTCAGAATCGTCCTTCTAAGAAGTGCCCTATTTGTAAAAAGGGATTTCATTGGGCCAATCAATGTCGGTTTTGGTCGGGAAACTTGCCAATGGGTGTGGCACCGACCCAGAATCCAAAGCATGCCTTTCCCATCACTCTGACTCCTCCAGCAGTCTCTCTCACTCCTCCCCAGCCACAGCCGGTAGCGCTGGGATTGATTTAATCACTCAAGAGGAAATTGAGTTTAAATTTCCCATGGAAGTTAAAATAGTTCCATCTCAATTTAAAGGTCCTCTTCCTTCGGGATTAGTTGGCTTAATTTTGCCTCGTTCTTCACACAAAAAGGGCTGTTTTGTTGTGCCTGGGGTAATAGATTCAGATTACACTGGTATCCTCATGATTCAGATTTGGGTGAATCTTCCTCAAGTTCTTCCTTGTAATCCTTCTGTTGCTCAATTGCTTCTTCTTCCATATGAAAATCCATCTCCTGGTATAGGTAATCGTGGGGATGCAGGATTTGGATCAACTTCTTTATCTGTAGGCTTACTTCATGAGCTGAACTCCTCTCGTCCTTTGTTAACGCTCTTCCTTAATAAACAACCATTTCAAGGGTTATTGGATACTGGAGCCGATGTTACAGTGGCCAGTACAGTGGACAAAAATGACAGTTTCTTCATTGTGGGGAATAGGAGGTTCTACAGCTGCTTGGCAGAGTGTTCAAGAAATTAATGTTACAACATCTGCTGGTAAGTCCTTTTTCCTACAACCATACAGTCTAGATATTCATACTAATATTTGGAGCTGTGATATCCTTTCTCTTCTTAATGCCCATTTGATTCTTGATTATGGCTCTTCCTCTTAAATGGCTCTGTTCTACGCCGGTTTGGGTGGAACAATGGCCATTTATCAAGGGAAAAACTTGCTGCTTTACAACAATTGGTTCAAGAACAATTGGCTACTGGTCATATAGAACCTTCTACTAGTCCTTGGAATACTCCTGTTTTTGTTATAAAAAAGAAAAATGGGAAATGAAGCCTCCTGCAGGATCTAAGAGAAATTAATAAATGTATCCAACCCATGGGTCCTTTACAATGTGGTCTACCAAATCCTAACTTAATTCCTAATTTTTATAAATTATTGGTAGTTGATTTTAAAGACTGCTTTTTAACTATACCTTTGCAGCTGCAAGACAAAGAAAAATTTGCATTTACTGTCCCAGTTTTTAATAATAGTATGCCCACAAAATGATATCATTGGCGAATGTTGCCTCAGGGAATGCTTAATTCCCCTACACTTTGTCAATATTTTGTGGATAATG